AAAATGTCCTAACTGCGAAGAAAGATAAAGAAGGAAACCTAATAAAGAAACCTAAATAAGTCGTGTTCTACAATACTACCATGGGAGGCGTCGATAGATTAGATCAACACTTACATGACTATCAACTAACTAAAAAGCCTCCGGAAAAAATATTATATTTTGCTATTTTCAACTATTTTATTTTGTTCCATAAGAATGGAGGAGCGCTGAATAATTTGGAATACAGAACAAAGCTGATGTTCAAAAAAGACCTCACGGGCAAAAAAATCAGGAAAAAAGCAAGATATTGGGGAAGTGAGTGTTACGTGGTGCTCTGCGTAGTACCTTGTTTTATAATTTACCATACACAATTAAAATATTATTTTAGCATTTGAAAAAACATAAATAATTTTTATATACCTAAATTGATAAAAAAATGTGCATTTAGGATTTTAGCATTGATGCTGCGGAGTATTCTCGAATAAGTAGAAGCGTTTATTTTAACATCAGGTGATATGTATCGTTCCTAAGATCTTAATCTAGACTGCAATATTTGCGGAGGTATTTGACTGTGATCCTTCCAGTTAGTACTTGTTTTCACTGGATAGTTCAAAGTAAGTACTCTATTTATCTTAGGTATGTTTGAAAATAATCATTTTCGTCTTGTGTGCCTGTCAATTAAGAAGAGGACATGAAAAACAGGGCAGAAATTGAAGACGAAGTGGAGATGGTAAATTCATTTGTCTTCGGATGCTAAACAAATTGTTTTGAATGTATACAATGTTATAAGAACTTCAGAAGGAGCAGCAATAAAAACAGTGACATGACCAAAATACCGAAGTCAGCTGTAAGAAAAATTGTTGCAAGTCAAGAGGAGAGTGCAACACGTTGATCTAATTAGGCGTATAATCTACGACGCTTATAAGGTGTTTTAACCGTAGAAGAACTGTAGATTTTCAGTTCCAAGCAATTAATAAACGTCGTGCTAATGGAATATCAAAGAATTTCGCAATGAAGGGTGGATTATGTGGACAAAATGTGTTTCGACACAGTAAAAAAAAACATAGTGTGCTAACAATAAAACATTTTAATAAAGACTAAAAAATCGATTGGATAGCAAAACAAATCTTGAGATTACCCCCGTATCATTGTATATTTAACGCGATTGAGATGATTTGGTCTGGGTTGAAAGCGCATATAAGAAGAAAGAACACTGCACCAAAATTTACTGATAGTCCTATAAACGTAATTTGGCAACAAAATATTTATCAAGACCTATCAGTGGCGAAGTTGATCGATCATTGAACTAGTAAACGACAGTAGCGATAGTGACGAATTTTTAAGTGAAGGATACTTTATTATTATATTTAATATTTTGTATATTAATGGAGAAGTTCATTTTTGTGAAAAACTAACCAAAATTCAAAATTAAGTGGATAATTAGAATTTTTAAAAATTTCATAGCATTCTATTTAAAAAAATAAAGTTGGTTACGGTCCTGGTACAACGGGATACACTGTATACATAAAAATACAATTTTTTCTCCTCCGTATCGTGAGGTAAGGTATAGGAGGATCCGAAGTGTACATTTTACCATCAGCTTTCCCGGTAACGCAGCAAACTTTTTCATGCAATACCCGAAATCCACTTTCCCGTGTTTCAAAGAACGAAAACTTTTACGACGCAAATGTGTGTGTGTTTCGTTGCAACTTGTAATACGAGAAAAGGCATTTTTCATAAGTTCGCCGCCGAGACACTGGTTGAATTTTAAAATCGAGAAGACGCCCTCGCGTTCCACGCGAATCCCTCAAAGTAGCAATATACGACGCTCGAGATGAGGCAGACGTGGCACTAAAAAGTGGGATATTTTATTATTACGTAAGCAATTGTTCGAAACCTCTCTCACTGCGACCGAAACGGTTTGCCAATAAAGCTTTGACCGACATGATTTACCGATTTTCGAATTTGATTGATAGTCCGCGGGGGCAGATTTCGCCGGTATAAAAGAGACTTGACTAAATTTCCGTGTCAATGGACTATCGTTATTCTTTATGACGTGAGCCCGTTTGGAATTCATTCACGAAAAAACGGCAAATACTTCGTCCAATGCATTTACGCTAATGGATGCTGCGCAATTTGTGTTTTTAACATTGTACTTTTTAAATAAAACTTTTGGTATAGGGTCAGTAATGGTTTCCAAGAAAAGACCACAATGACGGGGGAGGTTATGATGAAGTTTATTTTCCAGCGGAATGATATTTCTAATATCTCCAGTTGAGATAGCTTTAGGATGTGATGTGACAGTGCATTAATGTTGATAAGATTTGATTCCAGATTCTCTGTTTTTAATATATCCTAAATCATGCTGAGAATTTCCGACCTTTAAACAACCAAACAATCTTAGCCGCGACTCAAGTCTTTAGCTTTTACCAAAATCCCAAACAATCATCAACCTACTCAGAAGAAACCCAGAAGATTTGTAACAGTTCATTATGCAACGGCATTTGAGTCACGAGTTTATTTAGCACGAACAGAGCGAGTGTTTATTAAAGGAGTGGTTTAAAAAGTTTGTCAAACTTGTTGCATACTATACTTTTTCTACGACAGTTTTTGGGTAACAACACGAATACATTCACTGAAATGAATGTCAGAATTGACAAAAGTCAAAATTTATGACGTGCGGTAAAATTTCCGAAAATATCCGATCACTGCCAAACTCGTGAGGTAATATTCCGGAAATTTCCCAAGTGGCTCGGATCCGTGGTATAAGAAACTCACGTGGCAAAGTATCGCTTCCGGCAGGCTAAATCGGTGTTTAATTAGGTATTTTACGAAAGGGAGTAGGACAGTGTTTTCTTTTTTCTAATATAGTAATATTATAAACAGTTCATGTTGTTTGTTGACCCGTCTTAGAGTTTCTTCTGTCAGTCTAGCCCTCCAATCTGTCTAGAGGATTTGGAGATAGAACGACATCTCGAAAGAAATTTGTTTGTTATTCGCAATTGTTTTCAATGTCTATCCTTCTATGCCGTAGGGAAGCGCCAATCAAACCTCACATTAGTTAACTCACAATCGGAACAAATAAGCACTCCACGCATGTCCCATCTTTGGAAAACAATACTTGAATTGTTCAACTGAATGTGAAGATGGTGTTATATTGATGCTTTTGAAAAAATGATTAATTTGGTTTTTTTGGTTTTGACTTTTAAACCCTTTGATTCGATTTTGATGGATACAAATCCAATAAGTATTTTACAGCATTATTGTTATTGGATAAGCCTATTGATAAATTGATAAACGCAGTGGTAGGACAGGTATGAGTCGGTCCCTAGTTTTCTATCCTTGCAGGCAAGAGCAAAAACGATATGATATACATTGAAACAAACTACATCACCGAAAAAATTTGACCTCCATTAATAGTAGTCACACAATATTTGCAGAACAGATACTAATCTGAACTCTTTTACTGTCACTGAATTACGAAATGAAATATCTGAAAAAGGAAATTATGATAAAAATCTAAACATCAAATAAATACTTAGGATATTCCATAATTAAAACAAAAACTTTGCGCTATATCTGAAACACTAAAAGTGGTAGATAAAATTGAGTTGGTTCAATTTTGCTTCAAGGTAATTTATTTATTTATTTACGGTGTAACCAATTTACAAAACTTTTACATTCATTAAAGGCAAAGAGAGAAAGACAGCAGTATAACAACTAGAAACCAGAACAAAATGTAACAATAACAATAAATAGAATTAAATGACAGCACTCAAATGGAACACATCAGACCGAAATGAGCGGAGGCTGCCGACAAAAGGATCAAGCTAGTAAGGGGTGAATAAACTCCATAAGAGCTGGACAATAATAGCAACCATTCAGAATCTTAAAGAGAAAAACTAAATCCCTCTGGGACCTTCTGGTTTGAAGAGTATCAATATTCAAGGCCTTAGCTATCATTCTGTAGTTGATCTGATACCCATTATAGATATTAGATTAGATATAGATCTATATGACAGGCATAATATGGAGACCATACCACACATGCATACTCCAGTCTAGAGCGAAATAGGAGGACGATTTTAAGGCAATGTCAAGTGAGTTGACCACTAGTGCGTACAACAAACCCAAGGACTCGCATAGACCTGTTTGCTACTTCCGCAAAATGTATCCCAAAATTTAGTTTATGCTATATTGGTTGTGAACCATACTCAACGAACGACTAAAGCTAATACAACAGCATTTCTTTACATTGAACGGGAGGCTATTAATCTTATACCACGTGCAAACACTGTCCACTTCTCTCTGAAGCAGCAGAGCATCCTCACGCGATCCAACCCTCCCGAATATTTTCAAATCATCCGCAAACAAAAGACACTGCGATTCCGAAACTACATCAACAATATCATCACTAATATATCAGTTAAAAAGGATGGGTCCAGCGTGAGAACCTTGGGGGCCTCCCGAAAAAATATCAATTTTACCTGAGACATAATTATTAATACGAACCAACTGAGTACGACCAGACAGAAAACAGTTAATCCACCAGCCCAGCCCTCAGGCCCATAGCTCTAAGCGTAGAGACAACCCCAACACACAATTTACTCCAAAATGCGGTTTACACAAATAACTTGTCTTGCAATTTGCTTTCCAGTAACAGTATTGAATATGAAGAGCATATGATAAAGAAATAATCAATAGTTATTCTGAATTTTTACAAAAAAAGTCTATATCATGCTGTGGGAGTTATAGAATAAAAACAAAATTTTACTATCCCAGGCTTGCTGCACATTAAATGTAATGCGCCTTAAGCCAACTGAAAACCAAACTTTTAGATATCAGATCCAAGATGTCTTACGAGTTCTCAGATCTAAAATTTATATATAATTTATTGCCCAAGACACACCTAAACTAACCAAAACTACCCTTTGATTTACAGCAATAAAATAATGTCTTGTAATCAAGATGTAATAAAAATTTTCCAGTGATTTAGTTAACTTTGTCTTTTTGGTTTACAGACCGGGTTTCACGGGATTACAGGCAACGTGGAGTTTTACGAAGGGAAGCGGTCCAATTTCAAAGTGGACATCTTGAAACTCAAAAAAGAAGAGGTGCGAAAAGTGGGCCAGTGGAGTCCAAACGAAGGCATCAATATCACGGATCCGAACGCCTTCTACGACCACCAAGTTCCGAATATTACCCTAGTAGTGATGACACGAGAGGTAAGTCAACGATAAATGGATCTCAAAATATAATTATTAATAACAAATAAATTTTGAAATGTAATTTCTATATAACTTACTTCGGCCTCAAATTCAAACCCTAGTTCAAAATTTAAAATCATTAGATGCTACACACCAACGCTTAATTATGCAATATACAACACGTTGATAAACTTCACTGGCATTTATCAAACTTGTTGCATATTCTAATTCTACTGGATTGTCACTTCGACAGTCTCCAACATCGAAATTATCATTAACACTGAGAAATTTCTCTACATAAGGAGGTTATTGTATGAATTTTCGGAATATTCGATATTGCAAGATCTTTTTTTATACATTTTTTACGGTTTAACTTTTTGGTATATTTTTGCAAAACAGCCAAACGTGGAAATATCAAGCTAGCGTCTTAAAGTAACACTTAACACATCTTTCATGAAATCCTTACCCATTTTATTTGAAAATTATTAGATAATAATCACTGGTACAGAGAATTTAATGTCGGGTATCGAGGTTCCTCAGTCAATATCAAAAGAAAGCAAAGAATATAAAATCCACCAATTTATGTTACAATCATGATTCGTTGAATTTAAAGCAATAAATATTTCACAAAACATAAACAATTTCTACAAATTGGGAAACATCTTGATTCAACACAGCAAAATATCTAGCTTTTACTTGAAAATGGTACACAATGATTCAGTAGATATTCTAATGGCCTGTCGAATTTCTGTTGTCTTCATTTTGTTATTTAATTTTTTACAACGTTTCGGCCAGATATATCAGTACGAGTTATCAAGTGTAGACTCTCCATTCCACCATTCTACACTAAAAAATAATAATAAATAAAAGCAATGGAAATGGAAATTCGACAACCTATTGATATTTCTAAAGTATCTAGTTAACAAAGTTAGATGCTAGAGTCTGTCCAGAGAAAAATGTGTGAACATGAACGTACTCAAATCAAAGTAAATGAGTAAAAAATAATCTTGTTGCCACCTGACTGAGGTAAAACGAAAATCAGCTGTACATTTAAAGAACTCTTGGTTCGTATTAGTTTTTAAAATATCTGGACAAGTTGAAACCAAATTGTCACGTTTGAAACCCTCTATCTTTTTAAGGAACTGTTTTAAATAACAATTTTATACCACAAACTCTTCACAGATTAGTTTTCCGAATTCACAGCTGCAGTTTTCAGTTTCGAGAAACCGATGAAATCGAGTTTCGAGAAAGTGTCTACGCTCATCAAAAAACTCGAGATCTCGATGACGATAGGGTGTAAAGTGTCGCCGTCGATTCAGTGTCTTATAACATTTGTAACACTTTAGAATCGTTATTATAGTAGAATACAATCGGGTAGTTCCGCGTTTACATTTTAAATTCTAAGCGATTTCTTTTTTTCCTGCCTCGCCGGCAAACACCTGATTTGCTCTGACGTCTGCGCTACCAGGCTAAGAAAGTCGTAATTTAATTCGCTTTATTTAGTTGTTATTACTAATGTTCCAAATACTCACTCCCTAATAAATGGTCTGCTTACCCTTTTAGCAATAAATAATTAATTCAATCCGACAGCGGAATAAATATATACATATTTTCTTTAAATAAATAATTCGTTCGCGAAATAAGTTTATACTGCTAGTATCATTGGGCGTATGACCTTAAGCACCAAGTTCCGTGATTTCTCTCCGTTCCGGCATCAGATTAATAGAAAGTTTCCCAAAAAAAGAAAACAAGAAACAAATACACTAGGATTGTTATAAGCTTATTAGTTATTTATCTTCCAATTCTTATTAGTCAATATGCAATTTTTTTTGCGAATATCTGAAGAAGTACTCTATTATCTTTCTCACTCCTGGCTCCGAGCGACATGCGTGGTATCGTGTCGTTTTCCTGTGGTTTGGTAGAACAACAGTGTGGTAGCTAGCCAAAAGTGATTAACCTACCGGCTGGTTCTTCAGCCATCGCTTTACGGATATAGAGCTAAATTGACTTAGATGTGTGGTCAGCGATTTGGTGATTCCGTTGCTGTTCGTATTTTTGGTTCTTTTGGAGAACTGTCCACACTTACTCTGTAAGAGAATTGGGCAGGTACCTGCTACCTACCAAGCTTTCCTTGGAGCACCCGTACTGTCGTTGGAGCACTGTACTCCCCTTGGAGCACCTGTACTGTCCTTGGAGCATCCGTACTCGCCTTGTAGCCCCCGTACCCCCTTTAGGAGGGCTCGTGTTTTGGAGGCTTCCTAATTGCTGTATTCTGGGAGGATACAAACTTCGAAGTTCCTGTGCTCTCGAGATATTGGAGCACATTTGAATCATCGCCTCACCACCGGCTCACCTAATAGATCTGCGCGAAGCTAGATACTGTAGGCTGCACTGCTCGGGAGTAAACGAGGTGACGTCCAATTTGATGTAAGCGCTTCGCGAGATATTTTCCTTTTTTTCGTTTTTTGTTACGCTCGGTCATTTAATCGATGTTCTTTTGCTGTACCGACACGGAGACTCAATAATCATATACTCTCTAAAAAAATTGTGTAAAAATGCTTTGAAAATTTATATATAAATATTTGCGGGAAGTTGACGTACTGGTAATACTGAGTACGATCGTTGTCGAGTTATTAATAGTTATCTATATTTCTACTATTTTTTAAATTTCGTATTAAACGGGCGGTCAACTTGTTGTGAGGACGGCAAGTAAATTTTGCGGAGTTTAGGTCGTTACGTTGCGGATTTGTAATTTCTTATTTTCGCCACGTAATAAGTAACGTAGACCAGTTTTCACCTTTTATTTTTTCTGTCCTTAACTTTTATCGATCCTCAAACCATCTGAGATACTGGAAGGTCTGGTACTTCCGCCCTAAGGATAAATAGTGCTATATTTTCTTTATTATTAGTGACTCCCACACCCCCATTGCTCCAGCACTACGGGTAACTAATTTGCAAGCACCCAGCCACCCAGTTTTGCAAGAAATTCAATCATTTGTTTTATCTATTTATTTATTTGCCTTTTTTTCCCTCTTTCTTACCATAATTATTTCTCGTTGAAACTCCCAGCTTCAATTTTTCTTCATACTAGCACTAGGCGATACTCAGCTTGTCGCAAATTATTGAACCGATCAGATATCGGCCCCCATTTTGTCGTCAATTAGAGATTTTTGCTAGGAAAATCGCTATGAAACAAAGTAAGTGTTCGAAATTTCTAGTTATCGCAGGAATTTGGAGTTCCTTTCCCAGATGGAACCTATTGAAATTGAGAGGGATCGATTCAGAAGTCCAGAAGCATTTAAAAAAAATAATATATTTTTTTTCCGAACCAAAAAAAAAATTAACCAGAAGACGCGTCAAATAAATATACATAGCAAACACATAAAAATTGTGATTTTTTCAAGTAAATTATGCAGGTAATTAACAAACCGTGTTCTCTTAGATCGCCTCGATAGCTAAAATTTTTGCATTTATTTTTATTTTATTATTATCATTCAATTTGGAATTAAATTAGTCCATTGAAGGAGAAAAACGACTTAAAAGTTTATCAGCAGGTGAATCCAGGATTTTCGACGAATTTCACAGAATGTTTCGTTCCCCCTTCCGAAATTGGTTCGCCTTTTTTCTCGTAACGGGCGTAACCTCAAAAGAGAAATGACGCGATTGTAATGACGTGGAAGAAGATCCCGACGCGTAGGGCTCGACATATCTGTTAAGGGCCGGGAAATGCAAGACGCGGCTCGGCTCTTTCCGAGGGCAAAGACGTAGAAAATAACGGCCCGCAGAATTGTCTCAGAGGGAGAAATGATCAAGCGAACGGCATTGCGTACCCGGGAATCGAAAATGCTGGAAGTGACAGTCGAAAGTCTTGTAAATATAATTAAGGCGCTTTCGGGACGCGAAGCCTTACTGTCAAAGTGATTTTTATGGGATTACGTTTATGTAAATGTTATAATGAGTCAACGTTGGTAGAAAATGCGTAGCCCCATAAATAAATGGTGTTTATAATCCCGCACTGTCGAAGCACTTTTCTTGATTTGCAGATTTCTGTTCAGAGAACAAAGCAAGAAATGAAGCATTAAGACACAATTAGATAATGTAAAAATAAAGCAAACAATCGAACAGACCTGTCTCAGGAATTTCATTATTTCCCTCTCTTCAACTATTCCGTGGTCTCTCTCGTTTCTTCTTTTTTTTTAATTCGATGCTGAGGAATTATTGCTAGGTGTTCATACTACACCAGCAACTCTTCTGGATTATCCGACCGCCTTCTTCTAGTACTTCGTCAAAGAGTTCTTTGTATTTTCTTCATTTAAAATCCATACTTTAAAGCTATATATTTTTCAAGTTTTAAATTAATTTTTGTTATATATTTATATATCTATATTTTATCCCATAGTATCCCATGTTTAGCATGGAGATTGCTTTCCTTCATTCAACGCTTCTCTCAGCTAGTACTCCGTCAGTCGTAGATCTTGTTCCTTGTCATGTCGACGTTGACTTTCAAACCGCAATTGTCATATTCGCCAGTTGCTCTGTTTCTAGGGGTGCTTGTTTCAAATTAACAGACAAGTTGTTCAATTCAATTTGTGGTGCGCGTTTAAATGTGAAGTGCGGCAACAGGGGATATTTGCGATACCCGTTTAAAGGTTTGACCACACATATTCAGGACGCGTACGAGATGTTTGCGTGTTGATATTTAGAACGAGACTCGTACGGGACTCGTTTCAGAGACAAAAGCCCACACTGTTCCGGGGTACGTGCGTGTAGACTCCAAATTTGTTATGCACAGTGTATTGACAGTGCATTAACATTTTCTCTAGAGTATATTAGTGCTGCGAAATTATTGAAAATGTATAGAAATTTTACAAATCGGGATTTGGCTTTAGCATTGGAAGAGGAAGAATACGAAAACACAAGGAGATGAAAAAGAAAAATATTGGTACAGAGCACCTGGAAATGCAGATACAGAGAAGGCGAATTTATTACATTGTACCCACATTTCATGGACAATGAGA